TCCCTCAAACCAAGGCTCTGATACCAACTTGTAACAACATAAATTTTCAAAACAATTTTTCATTTCTTTAAAACATAATTTCGTTGAAGACAAACCATAGTATCCAATGTAACATGATCATAATACAAAACATATCAATCTCAAGATCAAACATATCCAAATCCACCTGTGCATGTGTGTACGAGTCATTACGGCGCCTTCCCACGGTCCTCGCTAGTACCTGAAACACATTACACATAAACACCGTAAGCAAGAAGCTTAGTGAGTTCCCCAAAATACTACTTACACACATATGCCTTTCCAGGCCATACTCCACATGACCTTCCGGTCCATCTGTCTCAGGGGACATCTGTCCCAACCCGATAAACCTGCCGGTCCTACCCGTGTCGACCTTCCGGTCCAGAACTCCCTGACCTTCCGGTCCACATCATAATGCCTTCCGGCCCATATAATAATGCCTTCCGGCCCATATCAAGCATAACATACATATCACATACATACCGCATACGAAACAGGCAACTCATAGCATACAATACATATATCTCATAGCATACCAGACCTTCCGGTCACACATATGTACCCTTCCAGGGATAGTATAATGAGAAGACTCACCTCGTATGATGTCTAGCACTCACGTGATCGATATCTCTGAATCTCAAAACAACGACCTAGCATCGCCTAATCACAACAAATAATCATTCCAAATCATTAACGGCTCTCAAGGCTATACTACACCCCTTTCTACAATCCCACAGAAGGGTAAAAGACCATTTACCCTTCCCCGACTCAAAAGTCCACATGTTGACCAAAACCCTAAAAGTCAACAAAAGTCAACAGCAAGCAGTACGTGGGGCGTACCAACTCCTGTATGCGGGGGCATACCCTTGCACTCTAGACACGGGGAATGCGACCCTACGCGGCGCGTACTGGGATTACGCCCAGTGTAAATCCCAGTTTCTTACTTTCCTCATTTTAATGTCTTAAACAGTTAAGGCATAATCCCACATTCCAGATCTGTCCATTCTAATACCTCTTAACCCATAAAGTCGAAACCTTTAATCCTTGCATGGATATAAGGGTTCCCCACACCTTCTAACACCTTTCCTTTCTCCTCCAAAAGCCTAGATCTCACGCATGGCTCAGCATTCACGTCCAAGATTGCATTTTTATGAACATACAACTCATATAGTCCTGAAATATGATAGATCTAGGCGAATAGAGACTATTTGCTCATAAAGTCTCCATCTTGGGACCAAAAACCCGAGAATTTGGTCCAAGAAGCACACAACACAAACAACAAGGCAAGATCTGAACTTTTTACCTCGGGAAGAAGCTCTAACCTTTGTGGTCCTCAGATGTACACTTGTCCACCAACTTCTAGCTTCTACAATGGCCTCCTCTTCTCTTTCACCACCTTGAAATGGCACTTTGAAGCTTAGAACCCTCACACACAAGCTAAGGACAAACGGAATACTCTCTTAGGGTTTCTTTCTGTAAGATGTTGGCTGAGGGACAAGACCATCTCATTCCTTTTATAGCCCTCAAGTCATATTAGGGTTTTGCATCCGGGCTGGTTACGCCTGGCGTAACCTTAGGTATGCCCGACGTACCCGGATAAATCCGCGTACAAAATAAGCGGGCGAGTACGCGCAACGTACTCCTTAGTACGCCCAGCGTACTAACAAGCTTAGCATTTACACAAAGGGACCTAACATGACAACTTGGCAAAGAAGAAGGGTTAAATGGTTGAACCTGAATTTAAGGATGTTACACCACAAACAAACAACGAACAAGAAGTAAGGCGGCTAGCATACATTCCATTGTTTGTTTGGTCCTCGTTATATATAACCCTGATGTATTCACTTGTTACTCATGGAGTTAATTGTAATAGTTCCTTTATATTTAATGAAAAGATCCTTTAATAAAACCCTTATTTCTTTTAATAAAATAGTGACCCCAGTGATTACTTCTATAATCACTTAGTTTATACTGGCTATATATAATCTAATATCGAATAGATAGTTAATTGAGTGAATTTGCCCTAAGCCCACAACCAAACAAGGAACAGGAAATAAGGTCGAAAGCACACATCCAATTACCTGTTGGGTATTATAGAGTCAATCACCTAAAAGTCCTTTAAGTTTACACTGGTTTAATAAAATGGATTAAACCCTTTACTCGTAAGTTTCTAGTTTTTGATTACTAAAAGTTCTGTTTGAAAACTATGCTTTGTACTAGAAAACTGTGCATTGAATTAGTGTCCTATGACTTGACCCATACCTGGAACCCCTTATGAATACTTAATGCATAAAGAACATATATATTATATATATATATATATATATATATATATATATATATATATATATATATATATATATATATGTTGGGTCGTATTTTGTGTTGCGTCTATTGG